AAATTACAGACAGTATTCCAAAAGATATTCCGAAATGCGTTCTTTTTGTCAATTAAAAGAAACATTTGGAATTATATTTTCGTTTCCGTGGCTCAATGGTAAAAGTCTCTCCGGTTGGTTTAGTCGGGCAAGATCCAGAAAACCGATCTACTAAGTTCACTTTAGTTGCCATGTAAATTCAATCGGTCAGTAAAACGGGCAGATAAATGTTTCCACAATATGTAGGGGATTTCCCTGGATATATAAAACTGCCAAAATTTACGTATTTATTAAATACCGATTAGGTGTTGCAAACTCAAATTAAAGTTGTTGAATGAAAATAATTATTAATACAATTTTGATTAAACCATTTTGTCTAAGGTTATTTTGTTTTATTTGGGCAAGAGTTTCACTTTTGCTAACATCTACTTTATAAGGTGTATTTTCGACTAGCCTATATGCTAATAAATAAATTGATTAAATAAAAACTTACTATAGGATATAAACATTTCCAACGCCTTGGTCATGTTAAAAAATATATTATCTGTAGTTTACGCGAGCAGTACACATTAAAATAAACGCTCTTAACGATTTAAAATACGAAATATATTATTTATTTCAAATTCATATTTTCTTACTGCTCAACGTCTCAGATGCTTTGCCGGAGCCATGAACCGGGGGGCTGACCATGGAGGTTGTCTCTAATGTCAAAGTCAATATTGTAAATAAGTTAATAATTCGCATACTAAACCGTTAAAATCGATTTGTTTTAAAAACTAATGCTAAGGTGCGAAATTCAATAAAGTTTTTTGGGACTTTACTAACTTACCCCGGAAAAGTTATCTTTGACCCTTTCGTAATCCAGTTGAAACAACTCTTCCCGATGTTGTCTATAGAAACACATAGATCGCTTGACATCCTACCTCACTATGTCAAGTCTTTGTAAATTTACTCAATTCTGAAACACTGAAATTGGGTTAGATCCTAATCGAAGCGTGCCCTTATTATGTCTTGTAAGTGTCAGAATTGAAACGATAAATTGAGAAGGGGATAGAATACGAAATTCATTATAATGCGTTCATTCGTTTTATAAAACGTAACACCGATGAGTTTTTATTTTTAGGCAAGTACTGTGCCCAGCTCGACCGAAACAAATTACTGTTTCCCCGGGCTTTGAACCCGGCACCTCTCGCGCTTAACACAATACTGGGCAACACGATTAACCATTTAGCTACAGAGGCGGTCACATGCACAGGTGCATTATAATATAAACTTACTAACGAAATCGACAAACGTTTTTTTACATGTAAATTAATTTAAGGGTGTATAAGTTGAGAAAAAAATACTTTCTTCTTACTATCCACGAGGATAGATACAATTCTAAGATTTCAGAATATTTAAAAACCATGTCGGACCTGGTGTCGAACCCACTATCGTTGTAGCTCTTGGCCATCGAACCATGGTAGACGTCGCAAATATACCTAATAAATATATTTAAATTTTTGTCGGGTCGAAAGGATGAAGAAATATACTTTTCTTAACCTTCTATGAAATAAAGCACCAAATTCTGTAGTACAATGAAGGCAGTGAATTTTCCACCCTTAATAATTCAGGCTGAGACAAATAGTAGAGTCAACTGCGTTGCTCCTTAGAAGAGGTAGGGCCGTAAATTGTCAAGAGCATACATCTTGTTAATATATTAAACTAGAGTTATTTATGTATTTTCGTGTTCATAAAATCCAAAATGAAGACCAGAACAAATGTGATTTGTTAAATAGTTTTTAATCCCATTATTAATGTCTTTTTCTTTTGAGCTGACCGATAGAAAGCGGGGAATCAGTCCACATCACTTACTGACCATTTCACTCATTTTCCTTTTCCGCTTCAGTAAAGTATAAAATTGTTAACTAAACAATTTTATATATATTAAAACTTTTCGAGGCAAGGAAAATCTTATAAACCAGACTTACATAATGTAGTCTATAGTTTTCGCGAGTAGTACACATTTAAATAAAACACTTTATCGGTTTAAAATGCGATATATTAGTTAAACTTTCTTAAAACGGGCGCGTTTCGGATGCTTTGCAGCAGCCGTGGTCACGGGGAGACGTTAAAAATCATTTTCAAATAAGTTTAATATATCGCGTTTTAAACCGTTAAAGTGTTTTATTTAAACCAGACTTACATACTAAAATATTTGTGAGTTAATATTAACACAATTTCCCCAAACATATTTTATTCAAATTGAACCCGTAGTTCCTGAGATAAGCGCGTTCAAACAAACAAACAAATCCATCAGTTTTATATATTAGTATAGATACACCAAATATACCCGAGAATTCTCCCGGGGATACTAAGACGTATTCCTACCCCAGCTTTTGATTACATGTCAACCCTTTTGTATCGAGTTTGTTCGAGTCGATTTTTCGCAAATAGAGCCTTTACGAGAGGAAATAGTGTTCGGGCTATTAAAAAGTTCTGGTTGTGCCTTCCACTATTCCCTAACGGTTTGATATTTATGTATCTTTGGCTGTGTCGTATCGCGTCCCTTTTGTTTGGCTCTCACTTACGAATTGACATTATCTGAGTTTAAACGGGTTTTGCTAAGTGAACGAATGTCATTTGGCTTTTTACCGAACACAGAAATGGCATTGCTCACGAACTAGCTTACAGGCGCTAATTTCCCAATGTTATCCAGGAAATTAGTGGTTTTTCGTACTAAAGAAATAATATCACAGTAGAACAAAGGACAGTTTCGATTATTGACTCTTCTAATCTTGAATTTTTCCTTATAGGCCCTGGCTATTACGAGTATTTTTTTCGCAATCTGAAACGTCGGGCCGTAGTAAAAGTGTTTTATAAAAATATGTACTACTTGCGCAGACAATATATGAATACCCTATTTAATGCCAAACCGTTCACACGAAAGGTATTGAATGTAATTTCAGAGGAAGCAAAATAATTTCTGTATTCACAAGATTCAGATCAACTGTGTGTCTGTATATATAACACTTTAATGGTTTAAAACATGAAATATATAAGTTAGCTGTTTTAACTACAACCTGACGTTTCGGATGCTTATTAACAGTGGTCATGCTAATACATGAGATATTACTAAGGGGAATATTATTAGTATTCCATAAAACCCTTACAACAGTTTCGTTAATATAATTACAGTTGAATACGAATCGTACGCGTGTGAATGCGTCATAACCTCTAGAGATAAGAACTTATAGCATCAACTTCACCTGCGTTTTGTTTTTATTTCCAGCCATTATTTACAGCTCAACGTTTGAGTTTTCATGCAATTTCATGATTTTTGTTTTCACAAACTTCATATCACGTATTAAAACATATATTTTCCATATATCACTATGCATTCGATCTGTGCTTTTTGTTTAACCAATTGTAGAGTCCTTTAAATTGTAATACTACGCAACTTTGAGTAATAAATTTACCGAAAAATCTCAATTACTCTTTTTGCACGAAATCTGTGAATGGTAAAATGATTAATGATTTTGCCTGTGCTGCAACATTTAATTTACTCGCCAGTGGTGTTATTTTAAATTGTTTATTAACTGTGTTTATTACGAGCTGTTATATGTGGTGGCAGGAGAGAGGTGGTTCAATTCCGAATAAAATTGTTACGTTTCGAAAGGCACAGTTGGCTGATGATGTTCGCTGTAATATAAACCAACACAACGGACATATAATTGTGTCTGCTTTATTTTCGCTTAAAGGATATTAGTCTATACGGTCGTTTGCAAATTAATAGTGTGTCATTTTAGGTTATATATGACACCTGTATGTCATCTTTAACATTTTTATGGTATTGTATTTTTATTGTATATATGTACTGACATTTTTTTAACAATACAATCATGGAATACATGCCCGTATACAGACCATTCTGTCTGTATACTGTCTGGGCATGTATTAGTGGAATGTCTATCGGTCGCCTATAAAAATATAGCTATATAAGAGACTAGCTGTGTTAGCAACTACGTACGCATAGAATGGTTATTTCGGGCATCCAATATCCTTTTTTTTTGCAGACCTCCTCTTCATCTTTATAAATTTTAGTCAGAGTCGGTCGCGTTCTGTCGTTCTTGCAAGTTTGTCTTAAAAGATAGACATACGCTGTCGTGGACATTTTTTTAGGTTATTCATAGCGTAGCAAGGAAACCCACAAGGAACAAGCGAAATTCTATAACTTATATAACCTCCATAAAGCTTCTATAACCTTCTATAAACCGCCATGACCACTATGACAAGCTATGTCTATTAATTAATATTTATCGCTTAAATTACTGTTATTTCAAATATCAAATCGTTGTACTAACGCCGTCTAATATACGAATAGTAGGGTATTGCTGAAAAGCAACTGTGCTGCAACTTATACTGACGCAAGACCCTTATGGCATCACTTTTCTTCAAATTATTTTTTTTAAATCGTTATCTTACTAAACAATTCCAAATAAAGAGATTCATTAAATTATATCTTGTAAAGCTGATACAACGCAGTTAAGGAAAGCGACCTTAGATCTAAGGGAAGTAATGAGAAGTAGTTAATAATGCTATGTGGGCCGAGTTGATGCATCTAATTAAGAATGTATGCGATCAAAAGACGCCTTTGAGCGTTTGAGTAAAGAAGTGTTGCCGTAAACGAGTAAATAAATAAATCTTATAATTATAATAGATATAGACTATAGGAATAGGTCTAGCAGTGACAATCAGTGAAATAAAATGCGATGCGTTTTTTTAAATCTTCCTTCCTGTTAGTAAAACAATGGTCTAGCGATATAATCAATAAATGTTTATTCAAAGACGATGCTTCATGTATACAGCAAAATTATTATTATTTTTTAAACTGCAACTAATTAATTTATTCTATTAATTATTCATAAATCTTAAGGGTACTATTATTGTTTCAGATGAGAGCGTCGCCACAAAATGAGGTTAAGAAGAAAGATCCACGATAAGAAATATAAGATTCTTTAAAGAATGTGTAAGTGACAAACATGATAGAAGACGGGAGCCGCGACTCAAAGCGCGCTTACCGTAAAAACGAGATCATAGAAGAGCCCAGTTGCTGCTTTGAACGCATCGACGACACGAAATTATTCTGCTGTAGGTGCGCCCACAAGAGACGAGCGTCCCCTCTCACCTGCCTCGCGATATGTTTCCTAGTTCTGACGTACAACCTCCTCGGTGGATTCCTCTTTCTAGCGCTAGAAGGAAACACTGGTATAGAAGAAACAGCCGTGGCAGAGTCAAAGCCGAATTTAAGCTCGCAGGAAAGCGGCGACCTTCGCTCCAAAACGGTGGAGAAGCTCTGGTCGATAACGGAGGACTTAAACATTCTGTACAAGGAGAACTGGACGAAGTTAGCCGCAAAAGAACTGATGGATTTTCAGCGAATACTAATAAAGTCCATTCGTGGGGTGGAGGTAGGGGGTCAAACGCATTTCGAAGATACGGAATATCGATGGACGTTCGCCGGAAGTTTTCTCTACGCGTTGACTCTTATTACTACTATTGGTAAGTAAGATTTTTACTTTTTTATGATAAAAAAAACAGATAAGCATGGGTATCCCTCGATGGTAGGTGAAGTACCTCAGCCATGTAAAATCTAAACAAAAAAATAAATATCCAGATTTCCAGATGAATTTCAACATGTTTCAGAAAAAATAAAAAATTGATTAGGAAAATATTGGAGCCGTTGGCGATCGAATCCGCGATCTGTAACGTATTAGCCTTATATTGCTACCAGTACACCTGCGATCCCGTCCAGAGATGTATATTTTACTTCGCTTAGAGTAGAGATAAAGTTATCAATAAGTTAAAAAGCTATATGATACTACTACGATATCACTATGATAAGCTATTATATTCTTTTTGCAACAACAAAAAAATTGCAAAAATCATGTCGTAAAAAATCTATTAGCATTTTTCAGTACAAAAAAGTCAACATGTTAAAATTTGTTTCTTATAACGCTGTAACAATATTATATCTACATTTTTCTACAGGTCACGGAAACGTCGCCCCAAAATCTTCAACAGGAAAGATAGTTGCCATCGTATACGCATGTGTGGGTATACCGCTCATCATGCTCTACCTCTCCACAATCGGTGAGGCTTTGGCAAGGAACTTTCGAGCTCTATACTCCAGAATATGTCCAACACGTCTAAAAAGCGGTGACTTTCATTCCAAAGCAGAATGTCTCAGGTATACCATACCAGTGACTGAGTGCGACAGAAACGAGAAATTCGATCGTCAGAAAAGGACCCCATTCCAAGCAGCGTTAAACCTGGACAATTTCAACAGCTACCATTGGACGTGCCGGGACCATACACGAGTGCCAATTATTCTTAGTTTATTTCTAATCGTCTTGTACATAGCATTAGGTACTTTTATATTCCATTCAACGGAGAAGTGGAATTTGATAGACGGGTGTTACTTCTCCCTGTCCAGCCTAGCTACTATTGGGTTCGGACATCTAAAACCTGGACTCTACGCGAGCACAGTGTCCGCGAAAGCGGAGGACATTGCTGTGGGCGTGTGTTGTATTTATATTCTCGTCGGTATAGTGGTGGTAGCGATGTGTTTTAATTTAATACAAGAAGACATGGGCGTCGCTGTACGGGGTTTTACAGCTTTGACCATGGGCGGCGCGAAATCCCGAGTTGTTCACAGCGAAACGTGCGACGAAAAGATGTCCAGGGCAGTAGTATCCTGACATAGGGAGACGGCCGACGGGCCGTCTATGAACTGCCATGACAAACGACCGCAAGTTAGCTTCAAAATAGACAGTTCGAATCCTACTAAATTCAATAGTCTGCCGAGAAGGAAGTCGTCAACGTACGCCGAGGAAAGTTTCCAAAGGAATACACCAGCGCGACGCTCGGCCGGACATGCTGATCGGTGTATAGAATATTTTGTGCCAAGAAGTTTAAGTGAGTTTAACTTGAGCGGGGCCGGAGCGGGGGAGTTTTGTGCGATAAGTACGTTCGGTGAGAAGAGCAGGCGGGACAGGCGTGATAAAATGGTTACCTTTGAAGACGATCGGTCCGTTGAGACTGGTAGCGCGCTCCCAGACGATGTGTTTATGTAACAGTGGGAAACACTCGTAGGTTTGTTGAACACCATTTGTTACTTAATAAAGTTTTACACCTATTTGTTGTTTGGTCTTGTGATCCTGAAAGCACTCTTCTCATGTCAAATGTATAAGCAAATTAAACTTTTTAAGGGCTTAAGAATTATGACTAGATAATAAGCAGCCATAAATAAAAAGTTAATTGAATAAACAAAATCGTTATAATGAAATATTTGCTAAAACAATCTCTTCTTAAAGGAATAAGGAGTACTTTAATTCAAATTAACTTTTTCTATATCTTAAACATGCACAAAATTTGCTCGTCTTGTCTACGCAATGCAAATGTATAGCTAACCTACGTATTTATTACATACATGTTAAATTCACCTATTCGTGATACTCAAACATCAAGAACAAATTCTTAATGACGACGGCCGACCTCGAAAATCCAAAAAGAATCTACAATTAAACGAAGGTTTGAGTAGCACTGTCACATGAGCTAGTAAAAAACGCTCGTATTGATTTGAAATATCGAATAGCATTACAAAACATGGCGTCGGCGTTCCCGGTGAGGCAAATGTACCACTTTACACAAACACAAGCTCCGTCAAAGGCAAAGCAAATATGCATTGGAACTTCAAACATCGCGATATTAAATCGGAGATTTGCCGATAATATTCCCAAAACACGTCGCTTGGCTGTATGGATGGGTCGATCGTCAACTAGGTTAATCTGGATTCCGGATTCACTCAACATTGCTTGGGTTTTAACTGCGGTAAGTTATATAACCGGTAAGTCTAGTACTTATAGTAAGCTTAAGGGAAAAATAGATAAACGTATATTGACAAGTAACATTAATTTGAAAATACATTAAAAATCAAGCTTAGAATGAAAACGCCATGGGGGAAACTAGAACCGGCATTAACAGCGCTCCGTGCCGCTGCTCTAACTAAATGGCAGAAAGTACACGGTAGGTGGTTACGATGGATATTAGTTGAAGTAATTTTCTTCCAACTAAATATTATTTTAAATTTCTACAATGACATCATGTGAAAAATAATAAGGTTTTCCGATAAATGAGTCCGAGGTTCAAGGATAGGACCTTATCTTTATTACCTTGCCCTTATCTTTGACATATTTTAGTTACCTATATATTATGGTTCTTTAAATAAAAAACTGTAATCTACTTAATTCTCTTATATTATAAACTAGCTGTTTCAGCGACTTCGTCCGTTAAGAATATTTATTTTCGGTATCCAATGTATAGGCGATGTTTTATAGTCTATAGCCTTCCTCGATTAATGCTTTAACAAAAAAAATTTTTTTCCAATCAAGGCGGTAGTTCCTAAGATTTTCGAGTTCAAACAAACAAACCAATCTAAACTGCTCAAAACTCTTCAGCTTTATATATTAGTAATCATAAGGAGTCAAAATTATAATTCGTTCTAAGTAATTAAGTTATCAACTCTTACATACGTCGTTGAAATATGTAGCTATTAATTTTCAAATATTTTCCCGGACCGGTAACCTTGTACATCATACATGAAAACTCGGCTTCTGAAATAAATAAGTTGCTGACCGTACGCGAACATGTTGGCAAGGTTTTAGTCTAAAAGCCAATTACATGAGAGTCTTTTGAAGCATGAGAACATAAAGCTTTGCTGAATTTAGTTAATATCTGTTAAATTTAATAATTGTAAAGTTGAGCACATTTATAAAAACGTTTTAAATATGTCCCTTTAGTTCTTTTATTTTAATTAATCCCACCGTTTTTGTTTTATTTTTTTCTTAATGTTAGAGGAGGACAGACGAGTATGGGGTTTACATGAAATACGGATGGTGCGTTGTCGACCTATTATAGCTTTGGTTAATCCACTGAGTGATACCGAAACCGCGATTAAACTTCACGGCCTTTTCACCTGTGGACGGTGGTTCGTAACCCGGATGCAATTTCGATATTCCTACCATCCAATTAATATCCCGATTTCCCGAAGAACTCCAACATATTTCTTAAAAATTATTAATTGAAAAATTAGAAACATATTGGGCCCGGTGGGGATCGAACCGGCGACTTGTTGATTATTAGCCATACATTGCCACCATTAGCCAAGATTCAATATCCTTAAAAGAGTATGGAAGGATATCTAACGTATATTTGTCACACTTGTACACTGGAACGAATCAGCTGAATTAGATTAATTCTAGAATAAAGATAGCTGACATTCATAAATAATTAAGACTTTAAGGCAAAAAACAATATATAACTGCATATTCTATCTTCGTTTTAAGCATTTGCTTTTTAGATTAGAAAATAAATAGTGTATGCGGCTTTTTGCTTAAATGCATTCAGTGCAGAACCAATTAAGGCTAATATTGCGTAAAAATATTGTCCACTTACTGCTAGTACTCTTATTGCATGTTGTTTTGCCTAAAGCCTTACTTGATAGGCGGTCTAGCCAACACAAAAATATTTTTTCAATTCAAACCACTAGTTCCCGAGATATAATCCGTACATACATATATTCATATTTGTAATATATATATATAAAATCTATAGCAGACCGCAGCCTAATAGGCCTAGCCCCACAGTTAAGAGAAATTGTGAATGCCAGTTCTATTTACGCTTGACGAACGCGTGTGAGTCCTTGTGACCGATTGCATGTTAAGTAGTTAGTATAGATTTAGCCAACAAACAAGGTTAATTAATTATTTCTTTTTAATGAATAGAAGCAACTAAAGGCATGAGCAATTTTATTAAACAGACATGATAATACATATTTCTCTTTAGCATAAAGTTTATATAGTCTGCTTTTCAAGCTAATTTTGCCTAAAATGTCCAGAGTTCAAGCTCCGAAAAATGTTAAAATTGCTCGAATTGCGGGCTTATCAGCGCTTGTCTGTGAATAATTTTAAAAATGTATACATATATTTTTTAAGACGACAGTCAAGAATGGCATTGAGGTTATTGGTAGTTGAAATTCTCCAGCCATAAAAGTGGCGTTGGATAATCGGAAATCCTAAAGACTAAAGAAGCCTAAACGCGATTCAACTTTACGTCTTTTTGCATCTGTGGACCGTGTTTGGTGCCCCGAATAGAATTATAAATTTATTAGAAACATACTGGACCCAATGGAGATGCTTACGATCCGATGATTATTAGCAATACATGCATCAATTAAACCACGAGCCCGTCAATATATTTGAAAAAACTCTGTATCTATCTATACACATTGCAATCCCACATTTAAATGAGTGAGCTTATTTATGAACTCAATTTTTAATTTGATATTTCTCGCTTCTAAAAGTAGATTTTCTTATATCTCTGAAAATGGTGGTATTTCGTATTGCGTTCTACCATAACTTAGATGACTTAAGTGAATAGTGGACATAGCTCTCAACCAGCAGTCATTAGTGGAACAGAATATCAAATGGCAGAGTGCATATTGCTGTCAATATGAAATTAGTGCATTTAATTAAATCAGCTTATACGTGCTGTTCCGTTCGCACGAGGCTCTATTGTTAGCCACAGTTCAATTGCAAATAGTTGGGGCAAATTCATGAATAGATAAGACAAAGATTTTTAAAAAAATTCTTTTACTAAATAACACTTGTAACGGCTGCTTTATAACTCTATATATATGTATATATCGAACGTCACTGGGTTGGTGCCATTACACCGAGCCTAGCATGCTTATACATCTATTTTTAACGTGTTTAAATTGTCTGGTAAATTTGGATTTAACACCGCATATGTTGTGATGGCTCGATTATTTTACCCTCCCCCAAATGACCTCAACCTATAGAAATATGTGTGTGTCTTGAACGTGTGCTTAACATTGAGTTAAGCACGAGAGGTCTTTGGTTCAACTCTTCAGGATACATATATTGTTTTGGTCGTGCAGAGCACGGATAAACTAATTGCCTATAAAATGCGTTAGCTCGGCCTCTGAAAGGGCCACAGAATATCAGTGTTGGGACAAAAGTCCCAATGTAGTGAGTGGCTTCCATTTCAGAGGCAAGTATAGTATTTAATTTTAATAATATTTGATTTAAATTTGTATTCACTTTCGATATTGTTTTTTAGTTAAGCTTTAACTATAAGTGTTGTTTCTGAATAAACGTATTCTATTCTATTTTAAATAATCTGATCGGTGTAACGGGCACAGAAGTGAGTCCCATGCCCCATAGGGGAAACGGGATTTTACTTACAGTTACAAGTTAGCCCCGAGTTAGTCGCAAAAAAAAAGTTTTACTGTATCATACATAATGATTATGTTCACATAATATTATATTGGTACATATATGTGTTCATTTGAAAATACATTTACATTAACTATGGTATATTCTTCACGTTGTTCCACATAAGCTGTTCTAGATTAATTAAAAGTTTTATAAAAGAAAAGCATCTACAAGGCAATATGCATTAGCGCGTCTATTTTATAGTTGAGTTTTTATAACATACACAAAGTACTGCTTTATAATGTGCTTTATAATAAATATCAAAGCTATAAAGAATTTATCTTTTATCTTTGCGAATAACATCTATAATAATTAAAAATTTCTGTAGTGTACGCGAGTAATATTCATTTAAATAAAACACTGTAACGACTTAAAACGCGAAATGTATTAGTTAAACTTATTTGAAAATTATTTTCCCCCTCTTTAGGTGACCCCGTGGCCAGGGCTGCTGCAAAGCTGCCTCGCGTAAATGTGAAACCGCTCTTAATTTTTTCGTTGATGTGGGGGGGGCGTGGGTTATAGTCCTGCCCGAGTCATAATTTTTCTTTCTCAATTAACAGTGATTTTATTTATAGGAATAGTTAATCGGTGTGCCGAACGTAACACTCTCAACATTTCTGTATATTATATTAATCTGGGGATCGAACTCCTGATCACTTAATTCGTACATTCGTATCGTGTGGTCGTAGGTTATACTTTCGGCTATATCATAATCTTTCTCTCTTAATTAAAACACATTCAAAACTTTGAGTCAATTTGCCTGCCAAATTTACAATGTT